GGATATGACACGGGTTATGGTGGCTCCGGTTACGGAGGATACGGAAATACGGGCTACGGGAGCAAGTATGGGGGTTATGGTGGCTATGGGAGCTCTGGCTACGGAGGCTACGGGCTGAACAGCGGTTACAGCGGCTTGGGAGGTTACGGAGGATACGGGAACACGGGCTATGGGGGTTATGGTGGTCTAGGGAGTGGCATCGGAGGATATGGTACTGGATACGGGACCAACGGGGCTTACAGAGTAAACTATGTGCCCTACAGTCACAAGTATCGCAAGTGAATTAACGAACCTACAGGATATTCCCGAGAAAGTGTGCTCAGCGCTACGGCAGGCTCAGACAGCAAGCCGCACTACCGCACTTTAATCCAGAAGAAGTAACAATTCTAACAAACGATTAAAAGCCTTAATATGAATGTAGGCTTGTTTCAGTTAGCCACAATTCTTATTTCTTTACGTCATTTGCTCCTGAATAATTTTTAAAGCGCTCACATTCTATATAATTAAAGCAAGATTATTTTAAGTTTCGAAACAATAATATGCCTATAACAAACGTCAGTAGGCGTATGAGTAACAGAAGTGTAACAATATTTCTGAAGCCCTTAATCACGTCATACTGATAATTCAATATTTATTTTATTTATTAATTTCATCCCAGTGAATTTATTTGAAATTATACATGGGCACTGTAACTCACTATTCATGTTGATTAATTCACACTAAAAATCATTTATCAAAGTTACGTTTTAATCCAATGTTATTGTATCAACTATAAATGAAAAGTATAATACAGTCTACCTTTGTACTTCAGAACTGTATTTGTATTAATTAATATGTATTAATTAAACTTTAAACTTGAATAAAGTAATATTAACAGTTCGAAATACAATTTTTATATATTACACATTATGCCACATTTATTTACAGCACTAGAAGGTGGAATGTGGGACCCTGGGCGCTCACGAACAAAATGTCTAGCTCTCCAGTGCAGCGGTAAGTGTCAATTTCGAAAAGCATCGGGCAAAAAAATATTCGCCACTGAATCAGTGCATGTGACGTGTTTTGCCTGAAATGTTAAGTTTAATACACGAACGAAGACTTCGGAGCGCATGTACTAAACAAACACACAAACGTTCAGTTAGTGACAAACGCTTTATCTCAATTTAAATACAAACTAACTGCTGAATTCACAGTGACCTGTGACCTGGTAATTTATTCTCATTCATTCTTCTGACATCGTCCAGCATTCGGATCCATACAGAAGTATGGAACATATACACTCTTCACAGTTTCAGTAAATTTTGTTTTTAGCATTTCTTTATCAACTACCAAGGCTGGACGAACAGAAGAACAGAACCAAGTCACTACTTATAAATCCTCTGTCCCACCTTCAACTGTTTCATAATAAGCAAGTCTAGATTTCTTACTGCACGCAGATTAATAAATTAATTTCAAATTAAACAGATTTCAACGTCCGGGAAATAATTCCAGCCATATTTATTATAATGCGCGACAAAACACAATAAATGTTTCAGGTTGACATTTAACACAGGAAACATTAAATTTCTCGACACTTGCTAAGACTAAACTAATTTCCTTTAACCTTCACACAGTTTCTCAATTCACAAGTTTATACAAATGCGAACGTAAATTTGTTTTGTATAAGTGAATTATCCACTAGTGTCTAAAAGAAACACCACGCGCCGCTGTTCTCTGTAAGTGAATTGTGACAAGTCAAATGGTGCACAGGCACGCCATTGTTGTGTTCGCCAGTGTGATCCTTGCAGGTACTTTAAATAGGCAAACGCAAGAAGAATTCTAGCCAGAAGAGTCTACGCAGACACGGGGAGCCCTGCATGAAACATGACTCTAAGGACAATGGTAAGAAGTGTCTGTTTCCTACTACAAGATTCATTACGATAATTTATAAAATGAACAAAGTATTTAGCCTGTAGTTTATGGTTACCCTCTGAAACATTCCTGCGCAATTTCCTATTACGACAGTTCTGCCTCAAACAAGTTTGTTCTGTTCGAAGGCTGTGGCGTCTCTAATTCTTGCAACAATTTGGTCATCGATTCACGGACAAGACGAAAACAATGGAAATAAGTCCGAAGACCTGCAGGCACAAGCTTCAGGTGAATAGACCGAAACGACGACTGGAACGCCCTCCGCTACACGAATTAACACCACGACACTTAAAACTGGCACATCTTATTCGATCGTATTACCTCTTAACATTATTTGTGTCTGTTATTTTCGGAAACAATGTAAATAGAATTGTCTTCAAACTTTATAGTACTATTACTCGTAACAGTAGCTTTGAAGTCCTCATGTACTGTTTCTCGCTTGCGATTTCAGATCTAGGCGATGGGGACTACGACGTACACAACGGAGAACTGTATGGAAGGTATCCTGGTTACTACAGCGGCCTTGGGACTGGTTACAACGCACCCCAGAACGGTCTTGGAACTTCTGGACTCGGATATAACGTGGGTTACGGTGGATTGGGATTTCCGGGGTTCTATCCGGGTTACGGTGGTTATGGAAACTTAGAAGGTTATGGGGGTAATGGAAACTTAGGAGGTTATGGGGGTTATAGAAACTTAGGAGGTTATGGGGGTTACTACAACCGCCCTGGTCAATACCAATAGACACGTCTAATGTATCCTAACTACTGCAGTTGTCAAAGAAGCAGGAGGCTTGTCACGGAACAGGGAGGTTGCCAGACCATTCTCTGTAAATTCACTAGTTTATGATGGATATGGAATTTTGTGAAATTCCATGTTGATATTTCTTACGAAAATACGAGCTGACTTTTACCTGTTTGCTGTATTTGCACCGCAGATTGTCATTCAAGGACATAAGTGAATTTTTAAAAATATACCATATCAATATATTTCCAACATATGACTTTTCAAGACACTGATGATGTTATGATGTATACGACACTTGTTTATATATTAAACATTTGTAATGCACACTGACTGTCAAGTAATAAAACTGTTTTTAACAAGCCACCAATGGTTTCTAAATGCCTGTCAAGAACAGCAAAAATGACAATACAAACTTTCCTGATTTGTGAAAAACAAAACACAACTTCAAAAATTAAAATTAATGTTTCAAGTGAATCAAATTGTGTGGTCTTACTACTTCTCTCATGATAAAGCTGTGTATGAATAATTATTCTTTATAAACATACAACTGGAACTTGAAGTCTGAAAAGAAACTTCTATATGAAAAATTAATTACAAAAGAAATTAAATGTGTAAGATGAATATATTCTACTTGTGTATGACCAGTATTTTATTTAATTATATGGAAGCTAATATTAAACCCCAAAACTGGTTTTCAAGCTTTTGTATGCAATCAAAGAATTGACCATCTTTCAGGCTCAATTCTGAAAGTTTGTGATGATGGTTGCTTTGACATCTTTCTGTTAGACAATGCCTTCTGCCAAACTTAGTCATGGAAGTTTAAGTAGGCTTACACAATAATAGTGCATTTACTTTAATATGCCACTAAGTAGCCAATAAATCAAACCCCAGTTGCAAGATTGGTTAACATTGTGTTATACTTATTCACTATTCTTCTTCTTAGCCCCTTATCCCGAAATCCGTTTTAAAATAAATCAAATACATGATCAAAACTGCCGTCTCCATTTACCCACTACCAAAATGTTTGCATTCATTTGTTTCTACTTACTTCAAAATCAAGCAAATGAAATGTTCACTGTGGAGCTTCAGACGCCTCCTGACTACGATTGTTATTTCACATTTGCATATACAGAAATCTTGACAATGTAGAAATGGAAACTTCACACTATCCGTAATTTATAAACTTAAAAGTCAAACGTAATTATCCTTCTTCATACCTTTAACTTTCACACGTATTGAAAAATGGCGTTCAACTGAGATTGGTTGGCCTTATCATGACGTCACGAACTGCAACCTTCACCAGACACAACTAAACGATCATGTTATATTCTAATCAGCCAACTTTAATTAATCTTCTTCTGTAACAAATATTGGGCACAAAATTCCGTTCACATTCTATTTTGACTACTCTCCGTGTTGTATGTGACCGTCAGTCTGCCTGTCACGATAAACGTTCATTCGTTCTTGTCACCTTTCCCGTTTCGTGTACGTAAATGTTTCCGTTTTTCTTCGCCTCTTACTTAGTCGTTACTATAATCCCAGTAGACAACATGCACTCCATCTGTGATGTTTTTGTTCTGTGCTGATCTTCTATCAGCCCCGTGTTACACTGTCATACGTAACTGCTGGCTTGACAAAACATTATGCGTATTCAGCTGAATTTCTGTATGAACTAATTTTGGTGTGAAGGGCTTGGAAATAAAATGTTCTTCCAAATCCACACCCCAGATACTTCAATGAATACCCGTCCCTGTTCACTCCCACGCCTGGTATTGGTTTGACAAATGAATGAAGCTGGAAATGTGCAGTTGTTATACCGTCACAAATTCTAGGGCACTGCAGGTTTCTGCACTACGGGAATATACCCCGACAGAAAACGGGCAGATGAAGGTAAACGAATGAGAATGTGCGTGCTTGATGGCCGATAGCATTAACTCAAGCAGAGGTAAAGCATTACGTCCTGAGAGTCACTTTCTAATTTTATTTGGAATAATTGCTAGGAATCTATTACAGCACTTACGTACAATGTCCATAAACTGATTAGTATTTATCAAGGAATATCAGTGTCGACTGCACACAGAATGTTTCCCAACACTCTTCTGTCAAGGTTAATTCAGAATGTACACGAAATTATTGGGGATCATCAGCGTGAATTGAATGTAAACGATCATATATTCCGCATTCGTCTGGCTCTGAAGAAGAACATGGAACAAAATCGAACAAACGCAAAACAACCTACTGGCACAAAATCTGTCTTACAACTGACGAGGACGAATTAAAGGCGCCCATTCATGAGAGTCTGTTTCTCAGGAACTGTGCCGACCAGCAATGGCTTCACCATCTATAGGACAGCAAATATTGCTGCTGGCAGGGGAATACACATTTATTATATCCTCCTGTTTCTTTCTACTTTATGTGACTTCTCTATTCTCTTTTATGCATTTCACTTTATCGCCCCCCCCCCCCCCCAAAAAAAAAAAAATTGCTACCCTAAGGGACCGCTTAGTTTGCTTGTGATTAAACCAATAACGACTTCAAGGAAGCCTACGATTGAGTCACGAGTGAAATATGGTACTGTACATTCCCACTTAAATCAGAATAGCCATGAAATCATAAACACTTTGTTTGACGAACCTTCTCATTTTACAAATGGTGTCCTTGCAATGGCTAACTGGCCACTTTCCAGGACGGTGGACTGGGAGTCGTGGGGCCTGCCAGTAGCCTGGACTTGACGCCTTGTAACATATTCCTGCAGGAGTGGGTCAAGGAATGGGTACAGGAAACCTGGAAGAAATGGAGGAAATAATGGAATAAATAATGAATTGTTATTGAACCTAATTTATGTCATGGACACAAAGACACAATATGAGCAGTAATGAAAATGAAACGGACAAAACAATTACAGTCACCTTGCGTCAAAAAGGCCGATCCATTCCCTAAAACTCTGGTGAAGACGAGGAGTTCTGTCGGACACACGTTCTGACAACGCATTGTCTACTGACAAGTGTGAATTAAGAGTGTAAGTCTGATACTTAGAATCACTGATTCTAAATATTACTTAACAGACCACACACAAGTTTCGCTACAGAACACAAAAAGTAGAGCGTATTACACGTACAAAAATGAAAGAAATTTTACAGCATTTCAGATACAAGCACCGGATCTTGGGTGCCCCGAGAAGTCGCCGTGCATCCACACAGCAGTTGTGTTCCTTTATTTTAAGCAACATTCTGCATCACTATCCATGGCAACTCTACTTAGAGACAGAACTGAATCACAAAGTCGTGTAAACCTTAAACTGCTTTTTGAACGACAAATATTCATACAAGCTCTGCAAGTGGCAATATTTTTGGGGTACCTACATGTGACATTAAAAACTGTTACAGTGAACTAAGTGTGAACACACTAATAACATATACCACGATACGCCAGCTCATGTAAAGGTGAACCAAAAATGAAATGAACAGGTCATAAACATTTCACAGAAAAATAAAAATAAATTCATGATTTACAATTTCCCTCGCTAAAACGTACTCTGGCTGCGTACATAAGCACAGATCCACATGAATAATATACACACATGTAATTACAAACTCCTCTCGAACAACTGCACGCCGAGACGGTAAATTTCAACGTCGGGGCCTGGCTGCTGGCTGTCGCCTGTGGTCTCCTTCACGGGCAGATTACACAGCTGACGCCTGTCAACGCAGAAATGCGACGGTAAGTTTAAATGTGGCATAAACTCCATAACAAGCAATACAAGTACTGAATACCATTACCAGACAAATCCAGAGAGTAAGCATACTTGAACACCTAATACAATTAACGCAAAGAAATGTCTGATTCTGTACGGCATGCTTGGACGGAATCCTGTTTCTTTCCTAATGAAACACATGCCCATTATTTTACTGAGTGCTCTCTCCATTTCTCTATAAATAAATATTAACCAGTCTCCCTTCTAAGTACACGGCTTCCAAACGAGAAGTTTCTGAAACAAATAAGTTCCCATCGCTGCTGGAATTGTTTTAAACTTTACAACCAGGGTGCAGTGACACGTGTCAAATAAAATGCAAAGAATGCTAAAGGGCGAAGGTCAAATAACGAGTTCAGAGTCTGCTATGAGACAGGGAATGCTACAGGACTGGATGGACCACTGCTTCATCTGGAAACATCTTTACATGCTTCAGGGGCCACAAACACAAACCTGATTGCCAGATCTCTCCGTGCTGATAACGCCCGCTTGTAAGGGCCACAACTTGCAAACAGCGCTGTACGCCGGGCCTGACGCTCTCGCAGGGCGACGTGAATCGATGCTACCGGATGTAAGAAAGACAGAGATGAGACTTCTTCTTTCGCAACTGTACCAGTCTCTGGTTCAGGAGCAGCGTTTTCTTTTCCATCTAGAACAGACGTAAGAATATACGTCAACGACTGGCAGGCGATAACATCTGAGCTCAAGGGGCATTCTACATGTACGCAAATTTGCCTGTCAGACTATACAAGATCAGCAAACTTCAGGTACAGCGATACAAAGCCAATTTCTTCTGCCGAGACTGAATTGTTGAACTGGGTACCTTTCTGGACAACATGTGAATAGTGGTACAATGTAGCACCCAAATAAAATTAGACGCTAATAATTCTAAAACACTCTGTAATATATCATACTTATGAAGGGATGACAATGAGGAGGATTAGATGGGAGAGTAGAACATACGTAAGAAATCTAGTGTGATAAAGTCTCCAAAATCAAGCGCTTGGAACACCGAGAAGATGGGAGGATGTTAAATATTAGGATGACTATTAACCTTTCCTTTTCCACATCCTATTGTCATCTGACTGTCTTATGGATCCATGGAATGTAAATAAATTATTATTATTATTTATCATCACTATCTCATGCACAGTCCAGCTTTACGTGCGTCACACTCACACACTGCTAGACCATTAACCACGGACTTAATTCGAGCTCAAAGCTTTCTAGTGAGGAGATTTAAATTGCCTTCTCCTGTATAATAAAGTTAAGGAAATAAAAGTGTGAGGTCGCGAAGTGGATGGAACTATCTGAGGATCACACTTAATGGCAAACTTTGGTATTAGTAGCATTCAACACACAGAGTTTGTCAATTAATTAAACTTACAAACAAAGCAGTCAAACCTTTCTCTGTTTCCTGTTTGACACCATTGTACTTGGCTTTCAGATCCTCCACGAGATCCCATCCTCCATAACGGGCTGATACGCCGAGACGGGCTAGCACGCGACGGCTTTCCCACCGTCGACGAGCCGAACCGGGAGTTGAGTCAGGTCGCGTGCGAGGTCGAGATTCAGCCACAAGACTCGCCCAATCGACACCGAGCGCATCTCCGATACCTGCAAATCAGGAGACTTATTGCAACACACACTTCAACGGTGTTTGATGCTCAGTGAACTGGTACGTCACCGGTCACGTATCCACTCTAAGCAGCAAGAAAATGTAAAATCTCATGTAGTTGCTCATGGGGCCATCCAGACAGAGTTTATCACAGTGTACCCCTCCCAAACACAACCCTGGCATCGTTACAAAAACCAGAAGGGCAACAACCTTAGGGCAGTCCACATGACTGTGGTCGACTGAGGCCAAGGTGTGAGGTACCATGCTGAGAGTTGCACAGCACTGAGATGGTGACAGAAGTGTCACTAGCAACTCATTCAGTGCTCCATGCAAAACCCATCTTATTCATGCCGTCCACACATACGCGGTTCTGTTCTGCACTTGTAATACCGCAGCTTTTCAAGTCACAAATCACAATAAAAGTCAGCAGCCTTTCTCATCTCACTCAATGCACATCACATCCCTCTTCTTCCATGGAAAACACTCATCCTAGTAGCTCACCAGTTTTAGCCTCTTCTGGATCGAGTTCTTCATCTGATATTTCTTCAAAGTCTAAGTTGTCCATAGTCTCCTCATCCTGCTGCCGTTCTTCAATACGGGATGACATCAACACTGTTCTGTAAGAATATAATTAATACAATGAGTGACGACAACTGCGCCAATGAACTTCTCTGAATCAGGTCACCAATGATGATTCCATAAATGCATAAAAACATGATCATTATCTCTTACTGAGAGTCTATATTAATTTCCTGAAGCACAGTGGAAGGCAATCTCTCATCCCTTTCTCCCGCTTCCCTCTCAGGCTCTCTGGCTCCAAGTGCTACCGGAACCGCAGCTGGAACCTGGGTCACAGGCTCTCCAACCAATCGAGCAGCTGTTAGTTCCTAATAAGCAACAAAATATGAGCAGTTAGCAGTGAAACACAAGTGTGGCCACCAGCTATCTGCATAAATCGTATGAAAAGGATCATCAGATTTAAGATTTTATTAACTTTGTTCTAATCTTGAACTTCAAATTTCCCTGTACACTACAAACAAACTCGGAACCTGCATGTATTTTAATTGCCCATTATTGAAAACAATTATATATTTTTGAATATTCACACACGGTTATTTAAAACTGAATTAAGGCTAGGCAACTTCTGCACATGGCAAACTGTTGTCTGAAAAGTGCTGACTTACGAATTGCAATTCAAGTAAAAGATGGATAAAGGACACAGTGTCTTCACATGTCCTGTGTAATGTTAATTGTAGAGATTAGTAAAATAATATGGCTGTTCCTCAACAAATAACATTTTTATACTTTAACTTAGAGACAAAATATCAGTAACATGCTACCAACAGAGAAGACTTCGAGACAAATACGAACTCTAAAATTAATATCAGATATAAATTGTAAATCAGATTTACCACTTACAGACAGTGTAACAAACTACATACAAATTAATGTCCTTAGGTTTTTGAGGCTGGAGTTTAATGTATAACTTCGGTTTTGGGGACAAGCTGCATCAGACTGATAGTTTTCCAATGAACACTGCAGTTACCACCTTCAGGGTGCATGTGTTCTGATCCTCCAATCACGTTCTTCACATCCCACCTGCCACCTACTACTTGACTTCTCTCTCTCTCTCTCTCTCAAATTCAACGTCTTGTCAGACGTGTGGTGACATGATATAGTGTCTTCTCGACACTCCATTCATGCTTTCATAGGAGTATAGTGCGGTAGGTTCCCGTATCTTTCTACGCAGCAGTATTCCAGCCGATATAGTTGTTATGACCACGCCTGGAGGTGCATTAAGCCGCATAGAAGTAATTCTTCGACATGACTTCCTAAACCCCCCAAAATGCATTGACCCTGAAGACGACAACTGCAATGTTTGAAGAAATGTTGAAAAACCTACATTCACAGTAACTTATACCCAAAAGCTGATACAATCACTATATAAATATGTAATTTTCACTAAGTAACTAAACATCCAACTAACGTCATGTTCAGGAAATCCCAGGGTCAAATCTAGGCTATTCTCACTACAGTTTTAATGGTTTTACTCAGTTCTTCAAGGCAAATTTCAGGGCAGGCCATAACTGCTGCCATGGCACATTCCTCAGTGAGTGAGAAGTCCTGGACGGACAACTCTTGTGACAAGACGAGGGGCTGTCCGTTCTGCTCAAAAACTAGTTCCACATACCACACCAAGTAGTGAATGTTCCGCGGTACAGACTCCAGCTTTATTGTTAGGTAATCCTTATACAAGACTTTCAGAAGATTCTCTCGAACAAAAACATGTGAAATGTGCCCTTTCCTTCAAGACCTCTGCTGAAGGAACTATGGAACAGGAAACAGCTGAGACAATTGAAGGACTATTAGCAACACACCTAGTGGAACTGGAACTGACAAATACCCCATCTGCAAAAGACACCAAACAAAGAAGAAACAGCACTGCACACGCACGTGACTACAACGAACTAGCTAAATCAAGATCACACAACATGGGATCCTATTTTATGAAAGCAAGTGACTATGAAAAGGCCTCTTTAAACAAAGTAATGCCCTTC